TCCACTGTATTGCATGGATAGGTATAACATTTGAGTACTGAATAAGCCAAATTCAAGTCTTCATGATCTCACACACACAACCTGTTTACTGTAGGCTACAAACACAAAATTTTATTGTTTGCATTTCTAGTATTCCTTATCTCAAGTAGGCTTATGCAAACCTCTTTGCCACATGCATTGGAATATGTATTATATTGAAAGTTAAATTTTCAAATGAAAATAGCAACATGATCGTTTTATAAAGTATGCGTTCATATGTGCTTCATTTTCGTTGGAGGAAACAGCTGTGGTGTGATGAGGGGTGAACGCAGTGAAAACTTAGGCTACAGTAGATGGGGAACCAACCGATTATTGCTCTCCCATGATATTTTGTAATCTGGATTTATGACAAAGAACTGCACAGATGCATATATTATAACAGTATATCGATAAACACACACCTTGTCCTCTGTTTCTCGCACTGAGCCGCTGTGGTCTGCAGATTGAAGAACGAGCTGAAAGACAGGGAGGAGCCGATCGAAGTCTGCCGCTGTTTTCATATTAAATTTAAAGGGGACTAAGGTGATCACGATTTTGTGTACGGTTTATGGAGATAATCGCAAAATTGTAGGGGGGCTGAGTAGTCATTTTAGGGGTGCTATAGCCCCCCTAAAAATGGCCTAGCGACGCCCATGAGAGCGTGTATAATTAAGTTAATGTAACCATGACAACATCGCTCACATGTGACCTGACGTCTGTGTCTAGGAGCTGTATGAGCGCTGTGATAAACTACGACGCACCGCGTTCAAACTGGCCACTGAAGCGGAGGACAATGACTCCAGTTTGGGTAAATGGCATGATGCTCCGCTTTACTCTCAGAGGAAGATGGAGGATTGTTTATTTGAAATGTTTATTATTTATCTGCTTCCTGTAGGTGACATTCTCAAGGCAAACGATGATTTGTCCAGAGTAATCGGCTCTTATAAACGAATCGTAGAAGGACAGGCGGACGACGGGGACGGTGAAGATCTCCGACCAGCTGCTAGTGAAGGTGTCGTGCTACTGTTTGACTGATTTGAGAAATAATTGACCTTATTGATCTCATAGATATTCCCTCGTTGATTATATTTTGATAATCACATTTTCTTCTAACATGATGTTTGTTGTTCTCTCAGGATGTGGCACTCTGATTGATCTGGCTGGACTCGATGAACCTTCCTCTCCCCCGACCGTCCCCACTCCTTCTCTTCCTCCTCAGGTCCTGTCAGCCAATCTCACGGCCTCGTCCATCCCCGTGCTGCTGCCTCCTCCTCGCCGATTGGCCGGCGGTCACAGCAGTCAGACGAGCAGCCCCAGTCACAAACCGCCTGAGCAGCAGACCTCCCTCTCCCTGCTGGACGATGAACTCTTGTCTCTCGGTAATAAATCTCTTTTAAATTGTTGTGACGCTGTCTGGTGATGTATACTAAAGAAGTAGGCCATGATAGGTCATGTGATAGAGTGAGTTTACCATGTTTTTACACGGTACCCCACATAACAGTGGAAAAATCACTGTAAAACAAAACCTCTTGTGTTTTATAAAATGGCATCAACAGTAATTTGATAAAAAAACACTTGTTGAATACGTAAATAATATGAATAAAATAATTATAATAATGTTTTTGAAAATTAATGTAATTTTTGATAACAATGTTATGATAAAATATTGTTAAGCATATAAAAACCATGTTTAGTAAATAAAGTTGTAATTGATCAAAATAATAATGATTAATATAATTATTAATAGAAATTATTTTATAATGGTTTAAAATGTTTTATTATTATAATTATTGTTATTAATTAATATTAATAATAATAATAATATTACAATACAAATATTGTTATTAAAACATATGTGAAAACAATGCTTAGTAAATAAAAAGTTGTGATATAATAATAATAATAATAATAACTATGAATTGTATCATTAATTATATGTTTAAATTATAATTTTTTTGTTAATAATAATAAAATAATAAATTACAATTATTTTTATTATTGTTATTAAAATTTTGAAAACAAGGTTCATTAAAATAATAAGAATATTCTTCCACCAATTCTTGCATTGTTTTCATGACTTTACTATTCATATTATTAGTTTATAAGCAATATAACATGCTTAAATGTTATTCTCAGGACTGAATGATCCTCCCACTGTGCCAAACAGACCAAAGTTGGATGAATTGTCTGGTCAGTGGACGTCTCTACAGGTAGGACACACAAAACCATTTGGACTTACAGATGTTCAAGGCATGTGTGGAATGTTAAGAATCCTTAGAGAGATGATTGAGTCTGTCATTTTGGTTGATCTCTTGCTGTCAGGCTCCTGATCCGGGCCTGGACCTGTTTGGGAGCATCTCGGCACCGAGCGTCGTCTTTCCGACAACACGCACACCTGCACAAGCCTCACACACACCGGCTGTCAGTCAGGGGCTGCAGGATCTCTCCATGCTGGACTTTGGAGGTGGAAAGAGGTACAGTTCTGCTCTGAAACAGCCCCTCAAACCAGCTTAAAGTGGTTTGCACATGTAGAGCACATGTTTCATATCAGTCACTTCTGAGGCTCCATGATGTTATGAAGCTCCTTTAGAAGGGAGATGCTGATGTAGACCGCTTATTTGAGTATATAAATTAATAGCTTATTCTGTCTCTCCACAGTGTTTCTGTTCTGAGTGGCATTGCTGGAGGTACTTTTGGCCTTTCTGGAGGTATGATGGGCTCCGCAGCCGCCCCTCTTCAGTCCACTAACCCGTTTGTGTGTGCGGCGGTGCCCGGCTCGCCCGCTGTGGCCCGGGCTCAGGCGGTGATGGGTTCCTCGGCTCCAGGCAGCCCTTTCTTTCAGCCCTTCTCATCTCCGTCTCACTCGCTTCAGAGCAGCCCGGCGCGGAGCTCAGAGCCCAGCCTGTCCAACCTGAACGTCCCGCTCGAGTCCATCAGACCCAGTGAGTGACCGCAGCTTGAATGGAGTCTGACGAATGGCCTAATTCAACTGATGTGAAGTGATTCCGTTTTAAATTTTCAAATGATTAATTAATTACACTAACAGGAAGTGAAGCATTATACTATAAAAAAAAAAATATATTATAAGCTTGATGTTTTTTATTAAAAATATAAATATTAAAAGTATATTATTATTATAAATGTTTTATTATTATAGTATTATTTTATTATTAACATATTAAACTTATAAGTATCTTTTTTTCTTTTGGTTTTGTGGATGAAATGTTAAGGTTATTTTAGATATCCAGATATCCAAGTCATCCTGCAACTTACCTAGTTATCTGTTTTACTTGCTGAGCTGTAACTGAGTGTTTCTGCTGGTGTCCTCAGGTAAAGTCTTACCTGTGACGGTGTACGATAAGGATGGAGTCCGTGTTCTCATGCACTTTGCGATGGACTGTCCGCCGGGTCGACCGGACATCCTGGTCATGGTGGTGTCGTTGCTCAACACGGCACCGTTACCCGTTCGAAGCATAGTGCTGCAAGCAGCCGTGCCCAAGGTACGACCTCCTCCGCTGCCAACACAGATTTACACAGCGATTTTACATGAATCGTTCATTTGAATCGGTTCCTTTTAATGATTCAGTTGAACCAATTCACAACATTCCTTTCACTATAAAATGTAAAATGCCACCGAGATTTCTTGAAACATGTTTGATGACTCTCTGAAGTTCTGAAAGTTAAACATGACCTCTGACCTCTACTTTAACTTGACCGTTTACCCTGTATTGTGTTCTGTTTGTGTCAGTCTATGCGAGTGAAGCTTCAGCCTCCATCAGGTACAGAGATCGCGCCCTTTAACCCTATCCTGCCCCCCGCATCCATCACTCAGGTCATGCTGCTCGCCAACCCACTCAAGGTGAGGGATCAAGCACATTCGATGCTTTTTTAATTACAAAAAAATAACAGAAAAATCAAATCAAATCTATTTGTAAAAATTGAATAATCTTTTTTTGAAAATCTTTTAAAAACTATTTATTTTATTATTAAAAAAACGTATTCATTTAATTATTTTTATTAAAAAAGGAGGGGGATAAATAATAAAACAATCCAACCAATCAAAATGTGACAGCACTTTGAGTCTCCTCTAGGGAATCTTTTCATAAAGGTTTACTTGTGTGTGTGTGTGTGTGTGTGTGTGTGTTTCAGGAGCGTGTGCGTTTGCGCTATAAGCTGACGTATCTTCTGGGAGAGCATCAGTATTCGGAGGTCGGAGAGCTGGATCAGTTTCCTCCAGTGGACAGATGGGGGTCCCTGTAGATCTCGCTGTTTACCTGCTTGAACTCTTAAATGTTCATTCCCAAGTATCATCATTCATTTGTGCTGTTCATTTGTTTTCAGCCAGTGTTTTACTGTAGGCTTGTGAAGCAGCATTTGATGCTTGATGTCTGCTGGATATTAATACAATAACACAACATCAATGACACACATGATGGTCCGAAGCGGACACGCACGTTTCAGAGATCTTTTGCGTGCTGCTCTTAAAGCAGTTTACCATGGTAATCACAGTTTCTGTCAAAATACCATAGTAAAACAATAATTAACTGGCAGTTTCAACAAACAGTACAACGTTTTGGTTAGAAAATTACATTTAAAAAAATTCCTTTAATTTGTGAAATAAGCTAGTTATCTACTACAAACTTGAATTATTTATGAATTAATTTAGACTAAATATACAACCTTTTACCAGTGATATTTTAGTGTCATAGAGATAATATAATAGTTTTTATTTTTGTATTTTGTTTTCATTGTAATTTTAAAGTTTTAATAACTAGTTTTTGTGTTTTGTCATTTGTATTACTTCATGGGTGTTTTTTTTTTCAAATATGTTTATAGTTTTTATTATTTATATTTCACTTTTTTTAGTTACTTTAGTACATTAAGTTAAACAAAAATGAGAAATGTGAAACGTAGCTAAATAAAATATTTATAGTAACAAAATGTAAAAAAAAATGTTTATGGTTTAAGTTTGTCAACTTTAGCAACCCTATTTGTTATACATACATACATATTTTATGTCTATCTCATGTTTATTTAAAAAAAAAAACAAGTCTACAAATCAGGGTTGTAAACTGTATTGAACATGTCTGAAGTTTTGGTAACAGGTTTGCAAAAATATATTTAGTTGAGCGGCTCTTTTCATTGACTACTTGTTGAGAAATCAAACAAAATGGATCTTTTTCAAGCACTGTAACTGTGGTATTTTGAAGTAAACTATGGTAAATGGTGGTAAGCTCAGAAGCCGAGCTGATACTGATGGTGTCACATGACCTCGCCACTGTCCGTGGAGTGTATTTAACCGTGATTTCACTTTGTTCAGACAGGGCTAGATGTTCCTGCGCTCTTCAGAACAAACAAGCATTGGAACTTTGCTGTTTCTAGAACTAGACGATTCATTTCCCGCAAACTTCAGCTCTCTAAGTCACGAAGCATCAGAACGAATGTACCTGCAGTCAAACGAGTTTACATGGAGAACGCTTTGAGTTTACACGCGTAACGTCATCGTAGCATTATGTTGTCAATTTTGAGTTTTTATCTGCCTGTGTTATAGTTCAGCACTGTTTCTGTTTTTATTTATTGCTGCTACAGGAACGTTTGGACTCAAGTTTCAGCATTACAGTCTGTCTCAGATAGTCGACAGCCTTTATTGACAATTTTATATTTGTTTAATTGTGGCATATTTACATAGTGTTTTTTGCCTGCAGGTTATGCGATGAAGATCTTGATGGAGGATGAACTGAAATGATTAGCACAGTTTATCATAAGTCAGATTGGAGATGTGTTTTGGTAATGTGGAGGCATCAGCGGTCAATCCTCTTGAGCGTTTCACGTGATTTGATGCTTTTAAGCACTGTAGCAGGGCAAGTGAGCATTTTATTTCATCAGATAAAGGCCTCATGTGATTTTAGTCCCAAACGAACCTTAATGTGTCCGACCAGAAGAAGAGGACAACTGTTCCTCTGATGTGTGCAAGCCGTACAATTCATTACGATCATGTGTTTAGACTCTGATAACACACAAAAATGACTTGTATTTCTCCCACAGAAACAAAACAAATCATATTTTGCATAAAGATTTTTTTCTTCCCTGAATGAAAATATAACAGCTTATTCATTTGTTTTAATTTTAGGGTTAAACGTGAAAGCATTTTTTGGTCCTAAAACAGTTTTAATATCGCAAAATATGTCGTCTTTTTGATTTTGGGGTGAATTCATGGTGGGTTTTTTTTGATTTTGGTGAGATTCATGCCTGTGAATCTTGTGTGCTTGAACACATTGGACTGTATTTCTGGACATCATGGAGCATCTCTGCTGATTCTGTCTGACGTGTTTCAGGAACATGAAGGTTTCAGAGCTTCATTGTGCATCTGCATCAAAGTGTTTTGAGTATTTCTGAGGAACCTCATCTGTATTATTATGAGTCGTGTCTCTTTTTAAGAGTCGAAGCTTCATCTGGTCTGACGTTGATGACGATGGTTTAGAAGGACTCATGAAAATGTGTGGGACAAATGTAGACCTTCGTAAAAGTTATTATGGATGACGATGATGAAGATATAACGAATCCATCATGTGCACTGCTCCATTAAATACTTTATCAAATGGATTTACCAGCATAGTTTTCTTCTTTACATGTTTCCTCTTGGGGTGGAAATTAGTAATCCCTCTGCAAATTTCACAATGCAGTCATTTCCTGATAGTTCAAATCAAGTCATGACTTACATTTACTCCAAATATAAATAGCCAAAATGGGATGCAAACACCAATTCAAGTTGATTTGCATTTGTAAATTAGACAGCCTAACTAAATTAGTCTGAACTGCAGCTGCTATGAGATGACATTATAAATGATTCAAAATAATAAATGAAGATGTTTGAGGGTGTCTAACCTTTTCTGTTTTGAGTATTTCTGAGGAACCTCGTCTGTATTATTATGAGTCGTGTCTCTTTTTAAGAGTCGAAGCTTCATCTGGTCTGACGTTGATGACAATGATGGTTTAGAAGAACTCATGAAAATGTGTGGGACAAATGTAGACCTTCGTAAAAGTTATTATGGATGACGATGATGAAGATATAACGAATCCATCATGTGCACTGCTCCATTAAATACTTTATCAAATGGATTTACCAGCATAGTTTTCTTCTTTACATGTTTCCTCTTGGGGTGGAAATTAGTAATCCCTCTGCAAATTTCACAATGCAGTCATTTCCTGATAGTTCAAATCAAGTCATGACTTACATTTACTCCAAATATAAATAGCCAAAATGGGATGCAAACACCAATTCAAGTTGATTTGCATTTGTAAATTAGACAGCCTAACTAAATTAGTCTGAACTGCAGCTGCTATGAGATGACATTATAAATGATTCAAAATAATAAATGAAGATGTTTGAGGGTGTCTAACCTTTTCCCACTGTGAAAAACGGATTTATGAGATTTCCCTCTTCTGAATCCCTGATGTTTTGCTCATCCGCTTTTTGTGAAGTGATAGTAGCTATGTCACAACTGTACAATAAAGGCTTGTTCACGCTGAGAACGATAACTATTAGCGTCAAATGCTACTTAAATCAACCCCATGCTGAGGTTTCTTGCACTAAAAACAATTACAGTAGTCGGTTTATGGTATTTTTTCCATCTCTGTATAATTCTTAGTTAATAGGCCATTTAAGTTGCTGTACCTAAAATTGTAATTCAAAAGAGCATGAACAATCAAGTTTTCCCTCATCAGACCTTTTATATAAAGGCAAAAGAAATGAATAAGGAAGACAAATTCGTTTTTTTTGCAAATACTGGAAAAAGTTTTATAAAAGAAGTCATGTTTATGAATTATGTACAGGACACAAATAGAGTGAAAAACAGCTGTAAGTGATTGATTGGATGATCAGATGAATTTATGTTTCTATTGTTCCCTCTTTCACGATGGCCATGGCGAGGTTACGGGCCAGAGCCAGTCGCAGGAGCTCCGTCTTCGTGGACTCGATATCTTCATCCTGAAACAGAAGAAAAACAACTTAGAAACATCCTAATTCACAACTAAACATTATAATGAGCATCTCTGGGATGTTCTAGATCAGTGTTTCTCAACCCTGGTCCTGGGCGCCCCCCAGCACTGCACATTTTGTGTGTCTCCCTAATCAAACACACCTGATTCAACTCATTAGCTCATTAAAAGAAACTCCAGGACCTGAAATAGGTGTCAGATAAGGGAGACACACAAAATGTGCAGTGTTGGGGGGCGCCCAGGACCAGGGTTGAGAAACACTGTTCTAGATGATTCGTACCTGGTCTGTCTGGCTTGAGTCTTTGGTTACCAAGTTCAGCTCCTCCAGACAGGACATGAGCTCATACGTCTGATCCACTGAGAAGATCACCTTTACATGCAAACAAACAAAACACCACAGATGAATGCTAAACACCACTAATGGTCAACCTTTATGGTTTAAGCTGCTACAGTACAGCTTAAATGGTTGAAGTTCTGTAGACAAATATTCATTGTTTCTACAAATTTCTTGACTAAAGTAAAATGTGATTGTAAAGCATGAGTTGTCTGTGTCTTGACCTCTTTCTGCTCCAGCAGCGGCAGCGCGTCGGTCAGCAGCGTCATCCACAGACTGCGCGGGGCGATCTTTGCCGTCATGAGGGACAGCAGGAGTTTGGCCGCCTCGGAGAAACGATTCTCACCGTAGAGCCTGTGAAACTCACGGTACTTTCCTACAAACACACACAGAGTCATGCATCTCATGGATAAAAGACTTTCTTAAAGGAAACATGATCTGGCATTAGAAACCACTTTTACATCTGTAGCATGACATCTTTTAAAGCGAAACAGTATGTTAGAAAAGAAAAACATGCTTTTATCAATTGGGAATTGACTGGATGGTGTAAAGCTGAATGTGCATTTGCTAAAAACAATGACTAGCTTTAGCTTTTGTTCAATATCAATACTTGATGAGCAAGTTATTACATGAAAGACAAACATGTTTGTTCTTTGAAATGAATGTGGCTGAAGAATCGATCACAGGAAAGCTGAATGAAAGCAGTGTAAAGCAGATCTGAGAATGAACGGCGGACTGAAATATGACACACACTGAATTATAGCGACTCTTCTGCACCGATAAATCACATAAATGGCATCGGTCTCTCATATTGTACCTAAAAACGTCAGTCTGTCACTGAGCAGCATGGCAGGACCCAGATTATCCAACAGATCCAGATCTGTGAAAGAGCCTTTGTTACAGTAATCCTGAAGAAACCTGTGGAAAAAAAAGCATGGGTTAGGTAAAAAGAGCAATATAACAGTTTATGGATATTGTAGACAGACAGAAATATCGTGTGTAACCTCTCCGAGATGAGTGTAGCGAACGCAGCGTCTTTGGCTCTGATGCTCCAGGACAGAGCAGATCCCAGTCTGTTGTTCCTCAGAGCTCTTTTAGCCATAATCTTACATATACTGCCTTATGGATATTGTAGACAGACAGAAATATCGTGTGTAACCTCTCCGAGATGAGCGTAGCGAACGCAGCGTCTTTGGCTCTGATGCTCCAGGACAGAGCAGATCCCAGTCTGTTGTTCCTCAGAGCTCTTTTAGCCATAATCTTACATATACTGCGCACTGAAACACACATATCATCATGTATCAATGACTTTGTTTCACAGAATAAGATCCTGTCCTCACTGAAGATTACTGTGGAAAAGAGCT